GAACAAATGGTAATGGCCTGTGCCGCACCTATCCAATTCTTAACCAACAACTACTCGGAGGTTCAAGCGGCACTAAAAGGAATCCTTTGGTACTGCAATCAAAACTGCACTAACCTCACACTTGAAATGGATTCATTGTTGGTTGTCAAGATGATACTAGGGAAATTCAACCATCCATGGAATCTACACAATGACATCTCCCAAATCCAAAATAAGGTATATCAATATGGCATCTCTGTAAAGCACTACTTCACGGAAGGAAACGAGATGGTAGACACGCTATCCAAATATGCGACATCAATTTTTGATAGTCAATTATTCTTCAATCTAACTAATTTGCCTATTGAAGCCAGAGGCGCCCTTCAAATGGACAGAATATAAATTCCAGCCTTTAGGATAACGGTAAAAAATATTCCGGTTGGTTCTTCAAACCACCATAAGCACCATCGGAAGAGCTACAATATACTCCAATTCTCATTCCACTGGTAGCTCTTCCCTCTCCTTTTTTGTAATGTGCTCGCACAACCCAAAGCCTAGGTCTTAGTCAACGACTGTTACATGTATTTAGCTATTTATTTTCGGAAGTTTTGGTTTTATGTCCCCCTCCTTTGTATCTTTTGTTCATCAAATAAACAAGGTAGGGGTTCAGCCAAACCCCACCACCTCAGGAGATGAAAACCTGGGTGGATGAATTAATTGAAAAAAAAAAAAGAATAACTAACATGCTGTCATGGTAAAGATAAAATTCACTGATAGCTAGAATAACTTTCTACCATGGTAAAGATAAAATTCACTGATAGCTAAAAAGCTATTTTATTAAATATATCTAACATGTATAACTAAATCCTTACCAAAAAGATATAACATTAGCAGTGACGTTGTCCGGGGAGAAAATCATCAAAATTAAAAGATGAGGCTCCACTTTAATTTTGGCTGCAGTAGGCCTAGATTTATGCTTAATTTCTTGTGACTTTGTTCACTCTTAGGGGTCGTTTGGCAGGATGTATAAGAATAATGATGAATATGGTGTATTAGTAATGTTGGTATTAGTTATGCTGACATTAGTTATGATGACATATTTCTTATTCATTGTTTGGTTTGAGTTATTAAAGCATTGCACAATTTGTAAAAGAATTGTCTGTTTACAAAAACATCCTCATAATCAGTCCATACTTTATCTTTTTAAATGAAACATATATTGAGGAATGTTTTTATATGAAAAAGGTTTTAAAAAAATATTTGATTTGTCTACTTATATTGTAATATAGAAGTGAATATTTATTTCAAACAAAAAAAATATGCTAAGTATTTATTTATTTACTAGGAATATAACTTTATTTTCCACTTTCTTGGATTATTTCAAACTTGCATTAATATAATAATATATTTAATCAAGCATAAATTTTGAAAGATAATTTTGTCTTTAACTAAGCTAATGGATGCATTAAAACTCATTGCATTGTTAATACCATGGCTTCTTATGTATTAGTTATACATAGGATAATACAAATAGGATGTATAACTAATGTTTGCATAACTAATGCATAAGTTCAAAAAGTATATCAAACAAGGTATTATTAATACACATGTTAATGCATGCATTATTTTATGTGATGCATCAAAGGAAGGACCCCTAAGACACACATACATACATACATTTGGACTTAATTAATAACAATCCTTAAGTTCAATCAACACACTGTTGATGCTGACCACTTCGCCCCCCGTCTTTGGAACCACAGTTACCGCAATAATGTCTTCATCTTCCAAACCACAGTCCTCTAGCAGTTCAGTGATGGCTAGCTTGAATTCTTGTACTTCAACCGCATGATTGCCACTATTAGGTCCATGAACATGTGGCAAGCTGGTATAGCTCCCTGCATATTCTTTCTTGTCAATGTCATCTGCATTCACAGTCTTGTCTGCATTGACGAACACATCAAACTTTATATACTTGCTATCATCATACTTTAAATTCTTGAATGTTAGCACCTCCTCAAATTCATCTTTCTCCTGCTGACTCCTTGATGTAGCTGGCCTCTCTATGCTAAAGCAAATTGCTCTGTCCAGATTTGAGAGTGGGAATACCTTGCTGGCTGGCTTAACTGAACGTAGATTCACCTTGCCCGGTGTGGTCTTTTTCCCTGGCTTAAAGTTACGCCATGGTGTGGCTTTCGGTTCGTAATCATACCCCATCTTCTTGCTGTCCAAACAGTCTCGGACTTTCACACGCCATGGGTCGCGGTTTTCATCGTAGAAAAAGAAC